CTTAGAAATATCACTAAATTATTTGTGCTGAATTTTGAATCGGCCTGTATAATGTATAGTGTTAAAGTCATGTAAAATATTTTACCTGACCAAAATAAACGATTTAGACCCAAGTTAGTAAAAAATTTTGCAAGAAAATGAAGTTTAATTAGACAAGAATACCTCCAAATAATCAATTGTCCGTAACTGTTAATCTCATTATAAATTTTCTCGGAAAGTGCGTAGTTTAGCGATATGTTGCCAATATACATTTTTTTGCAATGAATAAATTAATATTGTTGATCAGAAGAAGCTCCTTTGAATTTTTTTTGAATTTGGATTTGAAAATTAAAAAAAAAACTAATCACTCTTTTTGGAATAACTCTAAAGTAATAAGTCTAATTGTAAATATGATTCTTTAAAACGTTTCAATATATTTTACAAAAAATTACTCCGTACTTGGCAAAAGTTAACCTATTGCTAGCGAAAAAGAATTTAACTTCCGGAGGAGATATATTGAAGTACTCTCTTGTAAAAAACCTCTACATCATTAAATATAGATATATTTTTAACAAGCGGGATTCCCACAATTCGTTCTATTTGATCGTATTCTCAAAGATATACTTTACTTGTAAAGTTGTCTGTGGAAGTAAGTCATTGCTCTGAAAATACATACAATAAGTTGAATACTAAAAATATATATTTTACAATAAGAAGATATAGGAAATGTGTCCTTGTTAGATATAAAAATCACTAATGAAGACGTTTAAAATGTCTACTAAATTATCAGCTATTTACCTTTTTTTTCTAGACTACATAAAATATTATATTATATAAACATAAAATAAATTCAAAAAAGGCATAATACTTCTTTCTTTTTTTCTATATATAATATGTCATCAGAATTCCTCAATATAATATTTTTGCAGCATGGGAGAATGAGTTATTATTAAAAAATAATTTAGAATTAAGGATAACCATTACATTTACATCGGCATTTCTCCCATTGTTGCTAAGTTGTCAGTGTTGACAACGGCCAATGGCAGTGGCTAGTCGGTTAAGTGTATCTTTAATGTATAGGTATTGGATTTAATCGCAACTTTCTGTTAATGAACCGTAAGTTCTTGTGAGATTATGAAATCGGATATGTACGAGGACTGTTCAGAAAATAACTGATCTTAATTTTTTTTAACGTTATTATTAATTTTATACATTGTTGNCTTGGCAAAAGTTAACCTATTGCTAGCGAAAAAGAATTTAACTTCCGGAGGAGATATATTGAAGTACACTCTTGTAAAAAATCTCTACATCATTAAATATAGGTATATTTTTAACAAGCGGGATTCCCACAATTCGTTCTATTTGATCGTATTCTCAAAGATATACTTTACTTGTAAAGTTGTCTGTGGAAGTAAGTCATTGCTCTGAAAATACATACAATAAGTTGAATACTAATAATATATATATATATTACAATAAGAAGATATAGGAAATGTGTCCTTGTTAGATATAAAAGTCATTAATGAAGACGTTTAAAATGTCTACTAAATTATCAGCTATTTACCTTTGTTTTTTCTAGACTACATAAAATATGATATAAACATAAAATAAATTCAAAAAAGCCATAATACTTCTTTATTTTTTTCTATATAAAGGGTGTCCCGTTCATGTTTCAAAAAAACTTGTGTGCAAGTTCCTCATGGAGAAATAATAGGAGTAGTTCATGTAAAGTTTTTTTCTTAGACACCCTGTTTTCGAAGTTGTTACTAAATGTAAAAATTTGTACGTGAGTAAACATCAACTGTGCGTTAAGAATATTGTGCAAACGTTTTCTTTCTGAAAAGCAGTGTCGCCGATACAGATAATTGGAATCGAAAAAAAAATATGTTAAAAGTCAAAATTTATTACATTTCTAAACGGTTCTGTAAACTCTAAAGCATACTACAAAAAAAAAGGTATACTTGTCGAAATTCGGTAGCATGTATTATTTTCGAGAAAAATGAAGTTGTATAGAAGGGAATGGGGGACAATTTTAATATCTACTAGGTATAGTATTTCGAGTTTGCACATTTATTTGCAGCTGTTCTGTATGTTTCCGAGTCTGTTTCCTAATATTTTTCTGTTTTTATCAGTTTTTAAGCATTCATATCCATCAACAATTCAGTCCATTCAACAATAATTGTTTATTTTAGTAATGGTAGTGTAATAGTTTACAAAATCTGAAATTAGTTAATAATAAGTAGATAATTAATTACTATAATCTGTTTATTTTGATTTACTTTTTTAAATGTTAGTTGTAACAAACTGAAACTTAAAATAAATTTAATTTTTTTTTTTAGTTAATAAAATGTTTTACAATTTACCTGTTTCATATGATACGTAAGAAATTAAAATTATAGTTTTAAATGCAAATACTGTTGGTAGCTAAATGTCTTCAGCTTGATCAATGGGAAGGTCCTCTTTCAATTTAATATTTTATTAATTAATGTACTTGTGCCGCTTTATGTGAGTAAAAAAAATCATTTTTCTCGAAAATGGTACATGCTACCGAATTTCGACAAATATACCTTTTTTTGTAGTGTCCTTTAGAGTTTACAGAACCGTTTAGAAATGTAATAAATTTTGACTTTTAACATATTTTTTCTTCGATTGTACCCCTTCAATTACCTGTATCGGCGACACTGCTTTTCAAATAGAAACCGTTTGCACATTATTCTTAACGCACAATTGGTGTTAACTCATGTACAAATTTTGACATCTTTATCTTTAGCCGATTTAAAGATAATTAAGGAAAACCATTTGGAAAGTAACAACTTCAACACACTGTATATCGAAAACAGGGCGTCTAAGAAAAAAATGTGACATGAACTACCCCTACTATTTTTCCATGAGAAACTTGCACACAAGTTTTTTTGAAACATGAACGGACACCCTGTATAATATTTCATCAGAATTCCTCAATATAATATTAGCATGGGAGAATGAGTTATTATTGAAAAATAATTTAGAATTAAGGATAACCATTACATTTACATCGGCATTTCTCCCATTGTTGCTAAGTTGTCAGTGTTGACAACGGCCAATGGCAGTGGCTAGTCGGTTAAGTGTATCTTTAATGTATAGGTATTGGATTTAATCGCAACTTTCTGTTAATGAACCGTAAGTTCTTGTGAGATTATGAAATCGGATATGTACGAGGACTGTTCAGAAAATAACCGGTCTTAATTTTTTTTAACTTCTTATCTCCTTCAAAGTACTCATCTCCCTATTCACACACTTTTGCCAGCATTTCTTTTCATTTCGCAGAGCAATCCTAAATTGCTTCATTTTAAATGGTCTTTAAAGTCTACGAATTTCCTTTGATATCCTCAATAGTCTGAAAACGGCGTCCTTTCAGCACTGATTTTAATTTCGGAAATAAGAAAAAATCGCAAGGAGTCAAGTCTGGAGAGTAAGGAGGGTTAGGGAGAACAGTAATCTGATTTTTGGCACAAAACTGGCGCATTGTCTTTCTATAATCCTGGTCTCTTTTTCACCTAACCGTTGTAAAACGCATGGTTCACTGTTTCACCTTGAGGCAAGAATTTAAAATGCACAATTCCATTAAAGTCGAACAAAACAGTGAGCATCACTTTGACATTGGATCGACACTGACTTGCTTTCTTTTGCCAATCCATTGTGATGATTGAACTTTTGTCTCAATGTCGTAACTGTAAACCCAGCTTTCGTCTTCCGTTATGATCCTTTGAATGAATGTTTCATCGTCATTGGGTTGTTCAAGGAGTTGCCGACAAACGTCCACACGATTTTATTTCTGTCATTCGGTCATCAAACGAGGAGCAAATTTTTCTCGGTGCATGTTCAATTTTCCAGTCAAAATTTCATGGCATGCTCCAGTTGAGATGCTAACGTCTTCTGCAATTTCTCTGACAGTCAATCGGCGATTTGCACGCACCAGATCTTTGACTTTCTGAACGTAGGAGTCATCATTTGAAGTCGAAGGCCTACCTGGTCGAGGATCATCTTCAATTGACTGACGCATACTATTCATAACATCGTCTACGTAAGCTTCTTTCAAAAATTGAAACGTTTCCGTGAAAGTTTTCCCCAGTTTCACCCAAAATTATACGTTGCATGGTTGTTCCAGAAAATCGCACATTTCAAAAATCATCACAAACACTTAAACACGGCGCAATCAAAAAACAATATAACGAAAATTGAATAAGATAGGTATCAACAATCCAAGAACATGTAGTTACAGAGGAACTTATGCGCAACGCAATGCTGCCAACTGCAAATCACTAAATGTCTCCATTAGCGCGTAATTTAAAAAAATCGGTTATTATCTGAACAGACCTCGTATTTATTACAATTAGTATTTGATTTTTATTAATGCTCAGTTATGATGTCCGTCTACTCTTAGCCCTGTAAGTACGTGCATAATGGAACTCCACATAAACTGAACTCAAAATAGGCCGATTTAAGCTAATTCACCTACATTGGAAATTGCTTCATCTAGCCATTAGATAGTCTCAAAGTTCCTGAAAATTTTTTGAATTTTCTAAATAACTCTAATACACGTTAAGTAATCGATTTTCAATATTTTTTTATTGTGGACTTTTGCTTTTAATTGACACATTCTGGTGTTATGTGGAGTGGTTTTTAAAACTTACAACTGCTAGAAAATTGATGTAAGTATGATGAAAATGTCCGTCCATAACGTTTATTCCATTGATGCAATAATGACAAATATTTTTCAGTTCTGATACTATCTGGAAGTTCCTTTCCTTTTATACAATTTTCATTAAATGAGCGGTTACTACTAATAAATTATGTATTTATCTTTATTACGGCTAGAAATATCGTTCCAATATAGTAGTCTGAAATGAAATGTTCTGTACGAAATGATCGAAAATAAAAAAAGACGAAATATACGTATAAACAAATCTCTTAAATTATAAAAAAAGCAAACGACTCCGTTGTTTCTTCATGTGTATAATATAATGTAAATTTTGTTTCAGAACCTTGAAGACAAAGAACGGAAACACTCACTATATAAGGATCAGTTAAGCCGAGAACAAAGGTACCTTAGGAGAAGACTGGAACAGCTTTCGTTACATTTCGCCATGTCAAAAAGACGTTCCCTTTCGGAATGCTCCTCCTCAACAATAAGTAGTAACCATTCTACGACGTCCTTCTCGTCTGCGCCTTCGCCCATTTCCGAGTCAGGTAAGAATATTACTTTTTTATTCAATATGNTATTTATTACAATTAGTATTTGATTTTTATTAATGCTCAGTTTTGATGTCCGCCTACTCTTAGCCTTGTAAGTACGTGAATAACGGAACGCCACATCAACTGAACTCAAAATAGGCCGATTTAAGCTAATTCACCTACATTGGAAATTGCTTCATCTAGCCATTAGATAGTCTCAAAGTTCCTGAAAATTTTTTGAATTTTCTAAGTAACTCTAATACACGTTAAGTAATCGATTTTCAATATTTTTTTATTGTGGACTTTTGCTTTTAATTGACACATTCTGGTGTTATGTGGAGTGGTTTTTAAAACTTACAACTGCTAGAAAATTGATGTAAGTATGATGAAAATGTCCGTCCATAACGTTTATTCCATTGATGCAATAATGACAAATATTTTTCAGTTCTGATACTATCTGGAAGTTCCTTTCCTTTTATACAATTTTCATTAAATGAGCGGTTACTACTAATAAATTATGTATTTATCTTTATTACGGCTAGAAATATCGTTCCAATATAGTAGTCTGAAATGAAATGTTCTGTACGAAATGATCGAAAATAAAAAAAGACGAAATATACGTATAAACAAATCTCTTAAATTATAAAAAAAGCAAACGACTCCGTTGTTTCTTCATGTGTATAATATAATGTAAATTTTGTTTCAGAACCTTGAAGACAAAGAACGGAAACACTCACTATATAAGGATCAGTTAAGCCGAGAACAAAGGTACCTTAGGAGAAGACTGGAACAGCTTTCGTTACATTTCGCCATGTCAAAAAGACGTTCCCTTTCGGAATGCTCCTCCTCAACAATAAGTAGTAACCATTCTACGACGTCCTTCTCGTCTGCGCCTTCGCCCATTTCCGAGTCAGGTAAGAATATTACTTTTTTTATACAATATGTCCCCGAAATAATGCATACCTAAATTCCAATATGTCGAGTAATTTTTTTAGAGAAAAACACTCGCACACGTCAATTTTTATTTTTAATCGTTTATTGTGTATATTTTTTATAAAGGTTTCATATACAGGGTGTCGAGAAATGATGGGCAATCTCACGTATACAGGCAGGTTGAAAAATGACGTCACAAGTTTATATAATTTTGTTTTCTTCTAACTCATCCTCTTGAAATTGAGAGTTGTAAATTGATTTCGTTATAAGTTTTTTGTTTCTCATTAAATTTTGATAATTTTTGGGTAAAAACCTTGTTATTTCGAACTGTTTCTACCAATGTATTGAATTTACCAGTAACTACTTTGGTGACCCGAGGGGGTAGAGCTCCTTTGATAGGTTTAGTCCCCAAAAAAATGTATGAACCTATTTTTTAATTTCTGTCTCTTTTTCATACTTCAATTAGGTAAGTGAAAAAAGTGCACTTATTTGTTACCGATAAAATGAATAGTTTGCGCGTGTAGCAATAAAAATTCCATCTTATTTATGTTACATATTAGTAGTAATATTTACCGGGAAACAACAATTGGCTGTTTCCTTAAAAAATAAAAGTATAGTGTTATATCACAAGAGGAGGGAGCTAGTATATACTTTTCATTGAAACGTTTTGACATTTTAGTACGAAGTAATTATTCTGGTATGACCAAACTTGATTTTAGTCATAAGCGAACGATTCTAAAATTTAAAATGAGGTAGACTATAAAAAAAAGCAAATTAGAGATTTTTTTAGTCCCATTAAGGAAATACATCTTTTCTGTATAACAAAAAATGTAATCATTTTAATGTGAAAGATAGAAGATGACTCGTTGGTCATTCCCCATACCCAACCAAACTGTATCCATCCTGGTAGGGAAAATAAAAAGAAAATTCTCTCATGCCAAGATAAATAGCAATGCTGAAAGCAAAGCATAGTAGCATAATTTCGTCATTTCATCTCGCATCAGGCGTTGATAAAAATAAACGACTGTAGTAAAATCAGTTGAGCAAACGAAATGAGCCTAGATTTTCCCTTCAATCATTCTATAGAGTAACATCAATTTTCTGGAACGCGTTATATAGGGGATGCTAGCAAACTGTGAAAGTATATCCAACCATCCAAAGCATGCGGGTGTGTTTTTAAAAAAATGAGTATGATTGATTGCTGTTTTCGACTAACACCCACGTTATCGGGCCAAGGAACAAACCAAGAGTTAGTTGAACTTTTCCGTGGGAATTTGTATAACTTTCCTGAAAAATGTGGGTGAAAATATAATAAGTGGCAAAAGGTACATTTTTCATAAAGATGAATTTTATTTAATTGTTTCATTTGCAGTAAAAAATCAAAAACATAAATTTACTAATGTAAATATATCTGCAAGGCATATGCATGTTATTGAAAAATATATATTACCTATTAGATTTTGCTGAATATCGACATCGCCTCTATCGTGAGCTCATTCGTTCTTAGAAATCTCGAGCGGCATTACAGAAAAAGTAAATTTAACAAAGAAACGTTGTTCAAGATCAAATTTTATGATTAAATAAATATCAGAAGAAATGAGAATGAATTATTTGGGAGTCATCAGTTAGACCAAAAAAAGGTCTGTTCGGCTTAATTTTAGAAAAACAATTCAAATTTCAGTTTTATTTTGCTGCAACTGCTGCAAACGAGGCAACTATGGCTACCATTTGTTTCATGTATTAATAAAAATATTAAAATAAAATGAAAATTTTCATGAAAATTCTTACTATTCATTAGTTTTTAATCATATTAAGTGAATCTGGCACAGTACTCCCGATATACAAACGATACCTACCTCATCTTTCAGATGTTTTCTATTTATCTAAAAATAAACCGAAAAATCTAATTTTTTTAAACAGTATTACTTAGACCATTTATCTTGGTGTAACTAATTACATATATCTGCGAAACTTTTTCAAAAAATTTACATTTTCATTTAAAAAAAATAATAATAAATCGTATAGGCACATAATTCCTCTCGCTGTATAACGTGTCTTTTTACTTGAGTAAAGGTTATATAATAATGTCTGTTCGTTCCAAGTTAATTTGCGTCATATTTGTAATCTTACTTAGCTCATTAATGTCCTTGTTAAAAACAAAAAGTCGATATGCGAAAAAATAAGTATGTTATATTTACCTCACTGAGGTATACCAACAACACACTCTTCTGAAAATCACAAAACTAGTACTATTTGCGAAATTCTGCCTCTTCCAATAATGTACACTGAGAAAAGTATTATCTAATATCAAACTAATCTGTAAGTTCAGATATGATTCGTTAAAATTTAAATTATTTAATTGAATATGAAGAATAATACTTAAATTTTATAATTTTACATGTAAATTATTATGAGTTTGAACGTTACTTAAACAAATAGTAAAGTAATTCTTACACATTTCAAAACTATTTAATATTACACTTTATGAATGGTAAATATTAAATAAACTATTACTACTACAAATGCACTGAAATAAATAAGAACTTGTTTATTTTAATATTAATATGCCTTCATCAGTTAGCAGCAGCAAACTTATTAAACTAATTAAAACGAAAGTAACTCATTCACCTTTAATAACTAGTTAATTTGATTTGAACGAGGCTTATTTACCTTGTTTGTTGTTTTCCTACGCAAAAGTTCATAAAGTAGATACTTATACTGGTATTTACTATATTATGCAAGTGCCTGGACTTTGTTTGATGACAGTGATGTTGCGCGAAAAACTAGTAATAAATGGAAAATTAATAAAGTAGCGGCTCTGACCAACATATTTCTAAGTAACGATTCTCTAAGTACATACAATTTAAATAAAATGAAACAGGTTAATGAAAATTTTGCAGTAAATTTAATTTTTTGAATGTAAATATACATCACAATTGTTAATAGTTGTTATTATACTTTGTTTTCGTACCTGTTTGTTATACTTAGGTTAGGTATCTATACAGGGTGTCCTGGTACTTGATACAAAAAACTCGAGTACAAACAGATGAAGTCAAAATAACATCAGTTCTTCATATAAATCTGTTTCGTACGGGCCTTCGTTAACAAGTTACGGGCCCTTGAATGTGAAAATTAAAAAGTTATTTTTATTTACAGTCTCTAAACCATTAACATCAGCATGATGCAAATTTGGTAATCGATAATACATACGTACAGCTTGTTTTTCGTTTGTAAGTGAAACTTCATTATGATCAATGGTTAACAACTCAGAATTTGTACATAGATGACGGTCGCAATCTGCCTGTATCAAAAATAAGTTCACTGAAAAATTTGCCTTCTTGGTACAACTCGATAAAATTAACAGTTTAGGAAATATTTGTGATTTTATGTCACAGTGCACATCGAACGGCGCCTCCACCATTTTTTGCTTTTAATTTTTAATTGGACATAATTGGCAAACACACTTTACACATAACACAAAATTAAAAACAAAACAAGAATAAATTAAAGTAAGTTAAAAAATAATTTTAAAGAAAGAAACCTGTCAAAATACAATTTCAATATGGGCACCTTCCACCTCCACACACTTTCTAAGTCTACGAATGTTATTTGTATGTTTTTCACGATAGAAATTAATTCTTTGTAGCAATTCATCTCTTGTCTATACTGGGGTTGCGTACACTAAACTCTTCAGGTATCCCCACAGGAAGAGTCCATCGAGTTAAACTCTGAAGATCGTGGTGGTCATGAAATTGGGCCTCCTCTCTCACTCTATTTACTATTAAACCCAATGAATAAATAATTTCGTACATCAGTATTGAAATGGGAAGGAGCCCCATCGTGTATGAACCAAACGTTTCTTCGGGTGTCTAATGGAACATTGTCTATAAGTGGCTGAAAATTATTTTGCAAAAAACTGTAAATATCGATGTCCACAAATAATATTCGTAGGCTTAGGAAGTGTGTGGAGGTGGAAGGTGCCTATATTGAAAATGTATTTTGATGATTTTCTTTCTTTTAAATTATTTTTTTAACTTACTTTAACTTATTCTTGTTTTGTTTTCCTATTTTATGTTGTGTAAAGTTTGTTTGTCAAATTTTGTTAGTGAAAATTATATTAGCAGACAATAAGATTTTCAGAGCTCTTATTTTAAAAATATGTACGGTTCTAACATAGTAAGTAGTAGTCCAATTAAAAATTAAAAACAAAAAATAGTGGAGGCGCCTATCTATGTGCACTGTGACATAAACAAATATCACAAATATCATCATCACAAATATTTTCTAAACTATTAATTTTACCGAGTTGAACCAAGAGAGAATTATGGGTGGCAAATTTTTCAGGAAACTTATTTTTGATAAAGGCAGATTACGAACGTCATCTATGCAAAAATTTTGGGTTGTTAACCATTGGGCATAGTCCCTCCCTGGTGTTCTGGGCATATTAAAGTTTCACTTACAACATCAAAAACAAGCTGTACGCAAATGTTATCTATCACCAAATTTGCATCATGCTGAAGTTAATAGTTTAGAGACTGTAAATAACTTTATAATTTTCACCTTTAAGGGCCCGTAACTTGTTAACAAAGGCCCGTATGAAAAAAATGTATATGAAGAACTGATATTATTTTGACCTTATCTATTTGTGCTCGAATTTTTTGTATCAGTACCGGAACACCCTGTATATAGCTATTATTACAAAATCTAAATTGAATGTACTATCTAGGTGTCTGTCTAGGTTAAATATAAACATACGCTGCTTTAATATTAAAACATTAACAGTAAACATTTAAAATGTGATTGTAAACACATTTAGTTATCTATTATTTAATAGATAGTAATTTTACTATGTTAAGCAGAATATAATAAACAAGAAAGGTTCTTGAAAAATCACTATAGTATTTGTATACGACATTTACATGAAAGCTCAGCTGTTCAAGATTTCAAATTTGTTACAAGTTGTCATTGAAACTATACTATA